CCCCCAGGGCCACGCGTGCCCACGTGCCCGGGACACACGTGTTGCACAACAGCACCTGCCTCGGGGAAAAGGGACTGTCCCATCGGCAGGGGACGGACCCACCACAATGTCCCCCCGACGGGGGACGTTCTCTGGCTCCCAGCAGCCAGAGCCACAAGCCGGATGTAGACGCGTCACCGCAGAGACAGGCCCTTGGTGAAACCCACGAGCGGTGCCCGCCACCTGCTACGTTCACGTAGAGTAAGCACCACGGGACGGCCTGGTTTGCTGACGCTGAGTAAACGTGCAAAGCCGACTCACGATCGTGGGTGCCCCTGGCGGTGGGGGGAGAGGGGGACGGCGAGGGGGAGTCCGGAGGGCACCTGCTTCTTCTGCGCATCTTACTGCTTCAAAAGACGGTCAGCGCAAACGTGACGAAGCGCCCACTGATTCCTTCGGGCAGAGGGCACATGCAGGCTTATCACAGCACCCTTGCGTACTTGTAATTAAAAGCTAAGCATAAAAGAAGGCAGAAAGGGCTCTGCAGAGGGGAAGGGGGGAGGCATCCTGGAGGAGTGGTGTCCGAGCCGGGCCCTGAGAGATGCACCGGAATTGATCAAGGGGGCAACCAGGTAAGTGCGTGGTAAATAGGAGGGATGGGGAGGGGCGAGGGCACCAGGAGCTCGGAGCACTGGGGGCCGAACCACAAAGCCAAAGGTGGGTACGGTGAAGTAGAGAGCCAGGTAGGGCCTTGAATGCCACACCCAAGAGCGTGGCCATGCCCTGTGGGAGATGGGGAGCCGTCAGCCACCGTAGGCTCTTGGATGGTGTAGCAGGGCAGGAAGGGGGCTTCTGTGTGGAGGCCAGATCTGAGGCCGGGGGGTAAGGTGTGGACTGTAAGCCAGGGAGCCCTCCGGGGCAAGCAGGAAGTGGGTTCTGGCCTCCTCTGACACGACGGATTGCTGGCTGGCTGCTTCCCGAGGGGGCGGGGCTTCTGAGCATCCCACGGTGGCGCCCAGCCCAGGACCGGCCTTGTCCTAAGGCTCTTCTTGCCCACGGGCACCCATACCTGCCAGCCCTGCCCTGGGCGTCCTGTTCTCCCCCGGGGGCGGGCAGGTGGTCCCCACTGAGAGCAGCTCCTGGGAGAGGGGGGCACGTCCAAGGGGACTCTCAGGAGACTGTGGCACTGGGGCTTTAACACAAGAACCGTCTCCCGAAACCGGCTTCTCCAAGCACCACAGCGTTTGCAACGCAAACCCATTTCCCGAGTGCACAGCGGGGGAAACGGCACGGCCCCCCGCACAGGCGGCTCCCGCCCAGCCAGGTCCCGGTGACCCTGACCGAGTGGGCCAGCTGAGGCAGGCTGCCCGGGGCCACTTAACCAATGCAGAGGTCCTTCCAGGGGAGGCCGCTCGTAATCAGCAA